ACTGCATCTCTGGACTATCAACATGGGCATATTTGGCTTCCAAACACAAAAACCTGAATCTGCAAACTGCAGATATCCATTTCAGCCAAAGGAAGATAACTGGAAGAATTTCTAACATTGACTCACGATTCAAGACGTCCAATTCTTTATATTTCACAGTCTGCAATCCAAAGAAGAATTAGCTATGCATGTGTTGTGAGAAAAGCAAATCAAGTATTAAAAGAGTGCGACGCTGTTAGAAACCAACAAAGTCTGTAGAACCACATGAAACTCTGTGTATTTGTGGCAGTATTGTGGGTAAGCACATTTATGAGAGTTGAAATACAAAGCTGTTTAAAACAGAAGCATCAAACATCGTTGAGAGAGCCAGATATCTGGTGAGATAATAAAGAATTCTGTAAGTCTGTGATTCAAATGGTGAAAAAGAAAAAAAGAAAAAAAAAATCTGTCAGTTCAGTTGTCAAAAATCAAAACACTGGACTCCAAAGAGTTTGTAAGATTTTGAAACACAAGCTATTTTAATAATTAATGTTGACAAATACTACATGACATTGGTTGTATGATCTTTTAAAACCCTTGAATCGATCAGTTCAGGCATGTTTGTGTATATATACGATAATGTAATAACTGTAATTTATACGTGAGTGGTCTAGAATTGTGAATTAGGCTAATATTGAGGGTTTATTATATGCCTTTCAAAAAAAAAAACAACCTAAAATGTCATTTAATTACTAAGCCAAAACGAATACATTTGAATAACGTCTTCATTGTGTCGCACCATTTGCAGAATCTGTCCAACATTACATACCACAACTTCGCTTTGAGATGATTTCCATGAAATTTGTTCTGTTTTTCCGTTTTCTTTCTTCCTAATTTTCTCATTGTTTACATGACAAGTGAAAGACCCAAACAACCACATTGCAGTCTTGTTTCATATGATGTGTTACAAAAATACATTACTTTTGAATTAAAGCCTCCCAGCGTCCTTGTACTTTGAATACCCACAAAGAGACTGCATTTGTTAGTTCAATAAAGCTCATAAAAGCAACCTGTGAGGAGGGGACAGAACAATGCGAACACATACGGCGATCAGCCACATCATTAAATCGACCTGCGTAATATTGTGCACGTACATGTTGTGTCACCGAAACATCAAGGCCTGGACTACACAGACCTCTGAGGGCGTCCTGTGGTATCAGGCACCAAGACATTAGCAGCAGATCCTTTAAGTTCTGGAAATTACAAGGTAGGCTCTCCGTGGATTGCAACTGTTTTTCCAGATAATCCCATGATGCTTAATCAGATTTAGGAATTTGAAGGCCAACTCTTTGTCATGCTAATCGAACCAGGTCCCATATGCAGCAAGAACACACAGTACATCACTGCTTTACAGATATAAGAAGCCGGAGAGTATCTATCATTAAAAAATAATAAAATAATTCATTGTTTAGAAAGAAATGTGTCTGATATTTCTGCTGTTTAATTTGTAATCAGCTAATATTTTATATTTACCTGCATTAACAACTTCACACTGCACAGTTTGTAGAAGATCAAATAATTGTTAATACATCTGAAAAAGACTGCTTTGCCAGCCCATTCTGTGGAACAAAATGCTCTGGCTTGTTTGTAATTCTTTAAATAAATCACAGCCGTTGTGGGCGGAGCTAAACGAAGGCTGCTGCTTTCGTGTTTCCCCAAAATAGTGACGAGTGGATTTGTTTTGGTGGAAGATTTGCATTCAGGGAGATGAGCACTGTAAATAAAATGGATACTCCACTGACCAAAAAAAACAAAGACAAAACTCACTGTTCAGTGTGTAGTACATTGCTGCTTCAAACTAGTCGCAAAGCAAAGAGAACGGTAACACCAAGATTGCAGAAGGAGAAGACAGAACTGCCTAAAACGAGCAGCCAACGGCAGGCTTACACCTGCATCCTGCATCTGGTGGGTCAGACTAGAAAAAGACAAACATCCTTCCATAACATCATGAAGAGATGTGACAACATAGATTCACTAAATCTAACAAAACGCTGTGCACAACTTTGTGTAAGATCGTGAGTTCACCATTTGCTGTAGTGGTTGTGGCTCAGTTAGCAGATTTCTCTGCAGTCGGAGTCCCTGCAGACAGGAACAGCTGTCCCTGTCATGGCAGCCCAGCGGCCATCTGAAAACAGCCACCTGTCTTCTCAAAACTCCAGGGATTGACCAATGGATTGTCCACTTCTTGAGAGTGTGGATTTTGCAATTAGTCTAACATGAAAAAGCAGAGGGAAATCTCCAGGAAGCACATCCCATTGTTTTACACGACTGATGGAAGGGCCAATGGAAAAAAACGGTTTACGTCTTTGAAGGAACAAACCCTGATAAGCAGAGAGGAGGAGGAGTGGGTATAGTACAGTGGGGTAGGAATGACTGCTATCTGGCTCCCACAGCCAGATGAGCACGCAGTGAAAATGTACACTGAGCGAGTCTTATCACTGAGCCTCGCAAAGAGATAAATGAGAGAATCCACACTCTTAAAAATTAATTGCAGTCTGCAGTAATAACCTTTCTGCAGCCAGGCACGGTGGGAAGCAGTGGGGACACAGGGGAGCCTTTTCAGCTGTCTGGGGGATTCTCAAGGCGCCTTAGGGGGTGATCCCAGAAATGGCAGCCAGTGGCTTAGGTAGCACATGCTGACTGGTGCTGAGACAGGCCAGCTGTTCAGTCTACTTGGCAGCAAGGCATCTCTAAAGCAGAGCAGCAGACATGTGGAGTGTCTAGCCGGGAGCTAGTTTGCTCCCCTTCCCTTAAACAGCTACTCAGATCAGTGATATTAGTCCTAAACTTACTCACATGCTTTACTTTTTGGATTTTTCACTTTTTCATTTGTCGGGAGTTTGGTAAAAACTAGTTTCTTTGTTACTCATCCCTAGATTTGTGAGGTGTTAATTTATCCCGTGCATTTTCTCTCCTTTTGAAGATGCAGCACCACGCACGCATTACGTCAGCTAATCTGTTCCTCTGCCTGTCTGCTGGGTTCTTTTTCTCTGCCCTCCTTCCCTCCCGCTCTCCCTCTTTCATTTAGGTGTGATCTCTCGAGCCTCTGGCTCCACTCCCTGGAGGTCATCCTCTCCTGTCTCCTCCTCGCTACAGACGGTGGGCAATGTGGCAGCCTAGCAGCTCGGCTCATTATCACCCACGCTGGGCCCACAGAGGGCATGGCAGTGTGGAACACGTCTTGGCCTTCACAGCTAGCCGTCAAGGCTTTCCTTTCCCTGAACTGGGGAGGCTGGGGTTCCTGTCTGTATAAATACGGTTACATGGCAAAAACATACCGGTGTGGAGGAGCTGAGCCCTAATTCTTAATCACTGCACTTTCTGTGATTGTTGCTGTCCACAAAAACTTAACATCTTTCAGTTTAGTAAATCAATCTCTTTTGGATAAACTTCTTTACCGTTCACAAACCCATTAAGTTAGCTGGAACTTTTCACAAATCTTAAACACGACTGCTTTCTGAGCTCCTGAGAAAATCAAGTGAATACATTCAGTTTCATTGATGTGGAAAAAAGCTAAGTGATGTTTAACCATTTGGTCTTATAGCACAGTCCCATGGTTCTATAATGTTTGGCTCATGGTTCAGGAACTGTTTCAAGGAGATGTTTTGAAACTATGGGACACACAAAAGACTTGAAGGGGAGAAACATCATGCGAGGCAAAGATACTATTCTGTGTGAACTAAAAGGAAATAAAGATAAAACCCTCAGCACACAATTCACTGTTCTTCTGTGAGTCATGACTCAGTCAAATATAAAAAGACACAATGCTTGGATTCAGTGTGACTTTTTACACTTTGCAAGAATATCATTATCTCCATCAAATTCATTATGAATCAAAATCACAGGAGAAAAAAAAGACACTGCTGTCAACTTCAGAACTTGCCAGAGACTTACCACGCTTTAAAATTTTCTTCAGTTTGAGACTGATAACTGCATGCGTATTCAAAGGTACTTCACAAGTAGGAACCGCTAATACCTAATTCGGCATACTTTTCATGGTGGTATATGTAAATACAAAGACTAAAGTCACAGTTGTATGCATCTGCCATCCACTCCGGTTATAGTTTCCACCCATATCTTTTAAGACTCATATAATATATGGAGTGAACACTTGGAAGGAATTAAATAAAAGGTATTGAGTGTGTTTTGTTGTGAAATTAAAGTTGTCCTTGGATTGACACGTATGAGTCCAGTGAATTATTTCCAGTGTGAAACATGCAGCCTTCAACCAGAGACTAAGCTGCACACATATTCAACAAGGCAGCACAGATGATCTATACAATCACCAAAGTCTAAAGGGAGGCATCTGAGATCACTCAATCAAATAGGAAATATGCTAACAAGCTCCCCTTCTGTTCTTGAGTAATGACATTGAATAATGGCAGGAAAAAATGTTGTCATAATTCTGGAGTTATGGCTAAACGTGTGACACTGAGTCCAAGTGAATGTTTGTGCATAATTTTAAAGAAATGTCTTTAGGGCCTTTGGTCACAGATGTCCCTCGCACAAAGGAATAAATACGCTTCACATCTCCCGGTGCATTATGGGAATTGTAATTTCAAAACTTGATTGTCCCCTAAATTGATGTAAGGCAATGAATAGTAATAGGAATGACGTTGGATTAGACAGGGGGTGGTGGAATTGCAGTGGTCTCAATTTTCTCTGACGAAAGGCCCACAGTGTCAGACCTTTAAAACCACTGGCTTAGACTGATGCTTCCTGGTTTTGGAGGAACCGTCTTAACTACGAGTTTGTGAGAGTTCTGTGTTTGTGCAAAGATGAATGAAATTCAATTCTGAGGCGACTTGCTGCATTAAGCAAAAACAAACCAAACCAAACCAAACAAACAAACAAACAAAAAAAAACAAGGATTAGGCTGAGGACAAGCTAGCGTCCTACCCTCACCACCACAAATAAATCAAGACAGCACAGCCATCAGTTGCACGTCAGCATTGACTCACCTTCTCTTGGTACTGCCGTCGAGATGAGTCCAGAGATTGGATTAGCGCGGTGGCGTGGCCCACGAACATGGCGTAGCAGGTAGCGCCCACAATCATGCTGAGGATGGTCAGCCACACGTCTGTCATGCCCACCGGGGGGTACATGCCATACCCAATGCACAACATGTGGCTCATAGCTTTGAAAAGTGCGTAGGAGTACTGCTGTCCCCATGTGTCATTCTGGATGAAACAGAAGAGACGGGGTGAATTAGGGTGAGTGCATTGGAACACATCCTGGCTTGCTCACTCTCGCTCTCTTAAATAAGGGTGTTGATGGCACATTAAAGGTCAATGAGCACCCTGGCGGCTCACACACATACATGCACGCATCCAATTACTTAAAACAAATCCAATGGCAGATGTCCATTTTAAAACTGTCTTCGCTCACTACAGAGCAGCTGGCAGGGTACAACATCTTTTCAATATGCAAACAGTTGGAGCAAGCACACATTTGGGCAGAAGCCTAAAACAGAGCCCTGAGAATGGGCGGAAAGAGCGTGAGACACTGGAGGCTTGCATGACAGAAAGTAGGTCATCTATTTAGAAAAATGTGATTTCTCTGTGAGTTTTCTCATTTGTAGATAAATTGCCCCTTTTCCTTTAGATCCCGGTGGTGGTTCATGGCAAATCAATATCAACTCTCTCCTGGGGGTGACATGTCCAAATTGCTTTCAAACTCATTTCCACAGCGGAAAAGCCAAGACAGATAGCAATTTTATTAGTGCCCTCCTGAAAAGGTAAGGAGCGATGACCCAGCAAGATAATGGGAGAGCTACTGTAAAAAGAAGACCAAAATGTCTTCCAATGATTCTAATCAGAGTCAAATCAACTGTGACTGAGTCTATCAACGCTAACAACCTCTTTGTCTACCAGGTAATGTGAGGAAAACATGAGGAGCTTTCCATCAGTGAGGTGCGTGCCCCTGAGGCTTGAATTAATTCAGAAAGATATATTTGTTATTCTGTCACACTGAGAACCATTCTTCTACGTAATGCAATTAATTAGACAGTGTTTACTGTGTGAAACAAAACAAACTCCATTTTGAAGTTAATGAGAGGCTACATCCCACACACGGGAATTTAAAGTAAGTACATTATGAATCGTCTTCTTCACATCTCAGGGCCTCTCTGCACCCCGAGATGCAAAGAGCTGTTTTTGGGTGCTGCAGTCTGAGGGAAACAGCCAGTGGAAGTTATGGGAACACGACTCTGAGCTGCAACAACATGTGAAGTCGAAAAAGCCTAAATATAATCTAGTCAGAACTGCATGAAATCATTTTGTGACAAGGCATTTGGCATGTGAGACAATATTCCAGAGTCACTGAGACGGAGGTATTAAAACATTTAGGAAATGGAACACTGGAATTTTAGGTTAGGTTTGGGTAAAAGGACAGTCTGGTATTAAGTACATAAGAGCAGCAGCATAATTCCTTTGAAAATTCTAAAATACCAGAGAAATTGGATTGTAGCGTAGAAAATACGGGCCGGCAAATGTCTCATAATCTCTGCAGTACTTTTTTCAATCTGCCTCGCTTTGTTGTGGCTTTATGTATCATGTAGTATTATTTCTGAATCGGCAACGTGCGTAAGTTAAAAAATATGTTTTTCAGAATAAAACAAAGAGATTAGTATAGCAATCATATTGTTGTCTTCACCGCTGCAAAGTAAGACATCAAATCCAATCTTAATCCATGCATACTTCACCGTACCTTAATCATGAGCCACAGTTTACATTATGCTGCCTGACAGCTCAGTCTTATGTAACTTAAGATAATCCCCTTGCAAGTTGGCTTAATGCATATCAAAGTCGGGGTAAAATGCATGTTTCATGCCTGCAAAGGGAATGAAAACAACTCTGGACGAGAGCAAGATATTCAAAATAAAAGTCTGAGTACATAGTGTACGATAATGAAAATACCCTTACGCAATAACACTGCAACGTAAAGTGGTTCAAAATTGTTTTACCTCTTAACACCTGCATAATTCCTCACTTGACAAGTAGTTTATTTTGTCCTATGAACAATTAAAACAAATACCTTTGAGAGACTATATTGTAAACAGCTATAGAAAGTCAATGTAACAGAAGTGAATAATCCTGTGATCACTGACACACAAGTTAGAAAACCTGTGATAATTAAACACATTTGAGAGCACCTGTGATTTCTAATTAGCCTAATTAAATGAGCATTGGTATAAAATGCTCTGTGAATGTCAGAAGCTTTTTAAAATGTTGGATCGATGGGCTCTATTTGTATACATGTCTGCATCATGGCTCCACTTAGAAGAGAATTGTCAGAGGAATTTAAAAATCTGTGAGAAAACATCAGAGACCAACTAAAAATCGAGTACAGTTGCTGCAGTAATCAGGAGGAATAGATCGAGCCACAGTATCACTAACTATAGCTGCAGTGGTTGACGTGAAGAGTGCGCGACGTGCACAGTCTCTGAAATATGGATGGGCAAGTGCTTCAGACTTGGCACAGGGTTTACCAACGGAAATCAGAGTTTCTGTGACAGCTCAAACCTTGTAAAAGACGTCACATAATGCCAATTTCGATAGACGGCGCCCAAGAAAAAAAAAAAAAAAAATCTTGCTTGCTCTTTAGCACAAAGTTGCAAAATAAAACTTGGCTAAAGAACATGAAAACAATCATGATGAATATTGGGAGCCCATTCTTCAGTCAGATGAGACCAAGATAAAGTTGTTCCCTCGGACTAAGAACAACATGTTAGGATGAAACTGGCCAGGAGTACTACAGTGAATGCATAGTCCTGACAGTGAAGCATGGAGGTGGGAGTACGATGCTATGGGACTGCATGAGAGCAAAAGGTGTTGAGGAGATGACATTTATAGATGGCATCATTAATGCCTGCTGCAGAGGTTTGGCGGTTTGAATATCCAGCATGATAACAATCCAAAGCGCACAGCCAAAAACCCACAAGAGTTTCTAAAGAAGAAATAAAGTGTAGACGACAACCTGGCCAAGTATGTCGCCTGACTTGAATCCAATAGAACACCTTAGGGGTATTTTAAGAACCAAGATAAAGCAAACCAACCCTCCAGCAAAGAGCGGCTGAAAAAAAATGTCTGAACAAAGGCAGAACATCTCCCCGAAAAATCTGTGCCACACTGGTGTTGGTATCGTCCATGCAGAGGAGGAATGAAAAATAAAAGTGGACATACAAAGTATTGACAAACTAAAAGATTTGATTTGCAAGATTAAAAGGTTAACTTACGTTGTTTTTTGCATTGACTTCCTACTGTAGAGCCTGCATTTTTGTTAATCTAAACTATGAGTTTTTTTATTTAACAAAAAAGTAGCAACTCTACTCTGTTGTTCAACTTAGAAGTAATTACTAATGCATTGCTCCTAAACAGGACCTCCCCACCTGACAGGTATGGAAAACAAGCTAAAATTAGCTAATGTGTAAAATAAAAATCTCAAGGGACAGTGGTTTGCAACATCTGCTTACGCTTAAATCTAAGAGAGGCAGACTCAGTGAAACAAGTGAGCACGTCAGCGAGGCAGCGAGGCATGATGAACCAAATACATCATACCTTGAGCGATGTAACTTCTCATGTGACATCTGTTCTGGCACGGAGCGCTGAACTTGGAGCTGAATAGAAGCAGGTTTACATATAAAAGGACTTCCTTTAAGGTGTTTTTTTTTCCCGCTGTTGTTGTCAGCATTTAATTATATGTTTGTTCTGGGCACCTAAGCTGTCACCTTTCTGCTAATAACGTCAGAATTCTCTCACTCCCCTGGGTGGAATTACTCAAAAAGTGATTTTATTCTGTATATAGCCTTAAATTCTAATAAAAATAATGCACATTTTTTAGATAATAATTAAAACAGGACAGCTGTGGTTATTATACTACAGCTACAAGCAGTCGGCTAATAGAGGAAAAGGTGGTTGGTCGAACTGTTACCAATGAGCCTATTCAAGCTGGAAAGCTTTTATTCCATTAAACAAAAGCCCGAACATCGCCCTATTGACATTTACATTGACACATGTATTGATAAGCTATCAGTTAGGGGACCACTCTCCTCAACTGCATTGTGTAAGGGTTAAATACATGTTGATTTATTGGTATGTTCAACTAAAGACATGAGCTTTCATTGATGTCTGATCAATTCCCACCATAAAACCTGACAATGACTCTGATTCCTTTTGGAGCGGCGCTCTTTCATAACATGCAGAGTTGACATGAGGCCGTCAGCTGCGGGTGAATCGCACATCAGGTGTGACACAGTCCGCTTCCATAAGCTAATAAAAGAGAACTCTGTTGTGAGTCAGGCTTTAACAGAGGCTCTACCCCGGCAGCTGTTTTAACAATACAACAAAATTAAAGCGCGGCATGAGCGCTCACTGGAAACTGTCAATATTCAACCAATATTGGAGAAGGGCTGTCTGTCCTCCTCGGAAAAAAATCAATGTTCCATGCGCAGCCTCCTTTCACAACGAGGACAGACGTCAAGAATACTAAATAAATGAAAAATAATTAGCAAATTGAATAAATATGGCAGCAGATAAACATATCTGAGTTAGGGCTTAAAATGACAGATATGCGAGACAATCTTTCCCAGGAAGCTAAGGGGTTTTAGTGCAATAATTACTGTAGCTGATGGATGAGATAAGGCAGAGCATAATCTGATTCAAAAGGGCAGGAGGACTCTGTTCAGGAGAAGCACTTACCACCATCTTATTTTTGGACACCCAGCAGTCGGCAGGGAAGTCCTGCAGCATGGGCACCAGGAACTGCAGGCAGCCATCCCAGTGACACAGCAGCAGCATCATGCCGATCAGGTTGACTATCCTCACCATGGCGCTGGCCAGGTCATAGGTCATGTGGAAGATCTGAGGGGTGAGAGAGGAGGGAAGCAGGAAACTGGTTAGGGTACGATGACTCAACACGCTGATGGTCAAATCCCCGAAATCTCTCCAGACTGCAAAGTGCACACACACACACACACATCCTCAAGGGAGATTTTCCTCCTCCACAAACAGTGCAGTGACTTCTGGGTCTATTCTTTGCTCATGTCATGCACGGGGTTAGTGGAAGTGGAATTAGACAACAATGTACTTAGCCTGTAGGAGCGATTGCTTTTTATACAGCACACGGCTGAGCTGGTGGATGCAGATGTTGCTGATGCTGCTGACAGCAGTCCACCGGGGACGGTCAGCAGCCTGGGACCAGACCTTTACCTCTTATGCTGCTGAATCACTCACATCATCAGCCACTCAGCTAAACACAATAATGGTACAAGGGTAGAGGTGGCTGTGCTCCTGGGGTGAGAGCGTTCACAGACTGGGTTTGTTAATCCTAATGATAAATATGCTCATAAGGCGCTCCAGGACTTCTGGGCTGGTGTAGGTTTTAATGGCCTCAACCATTCAAAGCCTCTTAATCCCATTGAAGACGACGGTGCGCGCTGCTAACCGCTCCACTCCTTATTAAAATCCACTCAGTGCCTTTAAAGGGCTTGTGACTGAGAGGGGGATATTCCATCTTCACTTTGTTGTTGAGCAGTAGGTGATGATGAGGAAGGAAGATGAAGAAAGTTTAATCTTAGTTCTTGTTCCTAAAGCACTGGGCCCTGTTTATTTTTTTTTTCCAACTGAATGCATACAAAATGTGAGTGTGTATCTGTGTGGGCTTGTGTTCCAAAGTAGGGACGAGGCTGGCAGGGACTGGTGTCGTGTTTGTCAGTGTGGGTGCTGCTGTACCATCAAATCACATCAATTTAGTTCTGTCAACAAGCTAGCATGAAGCCAGAGGTATTCCCAGGAAAATGTGCCTCTCAGAGTGGATGAAGACATCTTCAGTCACACGCTCTCTATCCGTCTCTCTCTCTCAGAAACTCAGTGTGTCCCTCTCCAGCTCTGTCCCCTTTTCTTTTTGGGCTCTTGTTCAAAATGTTTAGCCTTGGGCGCTTATACATCACCTAAGCTGAATCATTCGCCCAGCTGCACCTTCTCTGGCTCAACCCACCAAATCCCCTCATTTTCTACACTTCCTCATCACAGCTGCACGCCAAATGCCAGCTAATTTTTTGTTTACTTAGGAGCCAACCTTTTCTTTAAATACTGTGATAAATAAGTTATGTTACCTAATATGCAGCAGTGTTGTGTGATGGTGAAAAAAAATTTCCTGCCGGAGCTGTAATGGCGTTCTATAACATTAAAGTGTTAAATTCACTTTGTGGCAAATGAATAAATCATGAGGTACCCCTTTCCATCTTCCGCATTGAATCTGATACATTTTTCATCTGTGAAATCGTCTTTCCAGACAGGAAAGGGAGGCTTTATGAAACAGAGGGAGCTTTTAAATCTATGAAAACTTGCTAAGTAATATGCAAATTCAGACGCTGCTATTCTTAGCATGTGACAGATTGACGGAGCTATAAAGCATTACAAGCAGATAGCGTACTGTTTATATTTTAAATTGTTGTGTCTGACATGCCATTCTAAAATTACATTTACCCTCAGTCTAACTGCCAGGGAAAGCTTTTTTTTTTTCCTGGCAAAGGGAACATTTTTTAAATATGCTACACGATAGTAGCATATATTTAGTGCAGGGACTTATGGGACGTCAAATGTATTAAAGACCCCCTCAGATGAAAATCAGATCTGATCCAGTGACGGTTTTTATGCTAGAAGACATATCATGAGCAGGATAATCAGTCAGCGCCATGGCTGAGCATTTTCACCATGAACCTGCAGTGCAGCGATGACAGTCTGAAGACACAGATTTCGACAGACAGGCTTTCATGCACAATAACTTGTAAGAATTCAATCCTGTTACCTCGTGGTGCGAGGCTTTCTGCACCAGAACAGAAGTGGAAAAGAGTTCTGTTTTTGGTTTCAAAGCTGCAAAAGGAGAAAATGTAAACCTTTATCTACCACTGGCACATTAACGCATGGGCTTACCAGGGTATCCGGTTAACCAGGGGCCTCATGAGGCATGGGATTACATTATTAGATTTGCTTTTTTTTTTTTTTTTTGGGTCTCGTCATGTCTCTAGTTGGTCAGAGGCTGGATCGCAACTTGCTTGTCATCGTCACACAAAATGGTCCTATAATGGAGGAAAGGTACTTCTGTAGCCTAAAGTTGGTTCAGGTTCAGTCATCCAGGTCATGGTAATCCTAGGACCTTCAATAGAAATCAACTGGGCTTCTCTTTTGTATTCTTGAAGATGTTTCACCTCTCATCCAGGACGGTTCTTCAGTTCTGACATGTTCTCATGAGGCACAAGATTAAATTCAGCTATTTTTGAATTAATTAATTATTTTATTTATTTTTTTGTCTTGTGTTGGAACCGAACATGATAGAATTGAAGAAATCTCTTGGATGAGAGGTGAAACTTCTTCAAGAGCCTCAAGTTGTGGCCTACAAGAGAACTACACAGTGAAATCCAGCCAACTAGTTCATAGAATATATCCATCCATTATCTATACACCACTAATCCTCACTAGGGTCGTGGGGGGCTGAAGTCTATCCCAGCCAACTCAGGGTGAAGGCAGGGGACGCCCTGGACAGGTCACCAGTCTATCACAGGGCTGCACTTAGAGACAGACAACCAAGCACACTCACAATTCATAGAATATATGTGTTTGCTTATAATAAAATAGCTTGTCTCTTCTCAAAGCATAGTTTATTGAAGGGCCTTTAGTAAGTTATTCCCTTTGAGCTGCTTCAATTTCTTTCATTAATGTTTCTACCACTAACTAATACACCTTGTTGTGTGTCTTTTTAACTTTGATGATTTTTTTGAGCTTTTTCTTGCTGCCTTGTGATTGAAAAGTGGTTCTTCAAAAACGTGCTCGATAAATAAAGATGATTATTGTTCGTATTATTATAGGTTTTAACAAAAGTTGCATTTTTTTTGCACATTTTAACAACCACTGCTTTAAAACAATGGGAGCACGATGAAAGACAAACATGACTGTCTGTCTGTGTCGGTCCACCCCCACATGCACTATAAGAATAACATAATAGTAAAAAAAAAAAAATTAGATTACAAAACGAATGAGAAATTGCATTAATTGCACAGGCAGGATCTGGATCTCTACTTACATGGTGCTTTTCAAAGCAGAACATGATCAGCAGTTGATTCAGTAGATTCACATGATTTCAGTCAAATGATTTATTATTTTACATCAGTTCTGGTATAAGTTTATTTTCTAAATCATGACATTTAAAATCAAAGATAAGACATGAGATTATAAACATGGAGTCCCTTAAAATGACATTTTTTTCTGCTGAATAAGAGTACATTTATGTTTCAAGTCACACAATACATTCACCATTATTGTGACGTGTTTTGAAAAACCTTACAGTGAAGGTGTCCGTGTGTAAATAATAAATAAAACATAAGGTCTAATGGTTTGTAATTACAAAGCTTCTGATCTGTCACTAATAGGTATGATTACAGATAATATAAGCCATTTACCGTGTGGACTAAAATGCATAAGAAGACTAATTCTTGGCATAACAATATGTCAGAGGCCAACGAATTTGGGATTTTCCAGCCAGATTTTTCTCCAGGGAGGCATGCCCCTGGAACCCCGAGCTGCTTATTTTTTTTCCCACTGGCTGGCTCCTCAGCATCCCTGTGGAAAACCCTGAGTGAAGGCCCTCAGGTTATTGTTATTTAGCCTTCCTGAGGCTATTGCATCTTCATCTTCGTGCCAGGCCTGTGTTTGTCAGGACTGTGCAGCGAGTCGCTCTCCAGGGTGCTGATCCCACTGCTGGGAGCAGGAGGAAGCTAGTGGGTGCTCCAAAATGTCTGTAGACCCAGTGCCTTGGGTAATGTTAAGGTGCCCTGAGATGACCCTTTACAATTTGTTTCTTCTTCTTTAGAATCAGTTTCCAGATCCTGAATTATTCCAACATTACAGCTTGCTATCGTGGGGTAGTTTTGCAGTGTTTGGGCAGAGTCAAGGGTGAACAGGCTGCTCGAGCTGCAGGTGAGCAGCAGAGGGGTGGAGACAGACATTTGAGTATTTTTAGATCCACACAAGGCATTACTTTCCTGAAAATAACTTCTAAATATGTAATTTTAACGAACACAGATCATGTTTAAGGTGTTAAATCACTGCCAGTAGCAGGAATTTCGATTTGTTTTTCAGCTGGTTCTCATAAAGGGCATAAATTAAAGGGACACTCCACTGATTACAGGCATCCATATCAGTTTACTTGGGATGGAGAGTCGGTGTGGGTAAAGAATATAACTTACATGACAAGTTTAACTCCCACGTCCTTCTGAATATTCCAATCTGTGGACTTGATTCAAATTCGAAAAAGGTATTTTTGTAACACCACTACCGAGCATTGTTAACCTGGCAGAATTGAAAAAGCGCTCAGTGCAGTACATTGGAGGGATCTTTTAGTTCATCTGCAAACAAAAAGACAAGCATTTTGGCCTTATTTTGTGAAGTAGTGACTAAGAAAGCTCCTCCAAATCTCTCATTTTGGAGATCTAGTCTAAGAAAGTGGCCCTGAAGATAATGTTATCTCATTTGAAGATATTTTTCACCTCTTAAACCTTAGAAACTGGAGATGTTGGGTTTATAAATAGAGTCTAATGAGCGACACCTATTTTAGGATTGTAAGAAATGTGTGACGCAGTATTTTTTTTAAATTTGAAATAAAGAATTCAGGCTATTTTATCCTCAGCTGCATTGGTTCTGTCCATTCTCGTGAGTCCCCCTATCTTCTAGAAGTACTAAATGGCTTAACGTCTGCATGTAAAAGCACTATTATTCCCTTAAGTTTGTTCAACAGGTGCTACCATTAACATCTAATATGATTCATTTTGGGACCCTTTATATCAGGAGAGATGTCCTTGAACCTC